AAAAACACTGCAATTGTTCATCGGCCGGCATTCTCGTTGGCAATCACAGGAGGACACCGCAGGATCACAGGGAGCAGGTAAGGGACTTCTCTGGGACACTGCAGTGTAATCCCAAGTGTGGCTCGGGGTTACCGCTTCTGGCAGTGAAAATTAACCCTGAGCCACACTCGTGGTTACCGCTTCTAGCAGTGAAAATTAACCCGAGCCACACTCGGGGTTACCGCCAGGGTGGTTAAAGAAGTTGAGAAAAGAAAGAACAGGCACATTTTCATAGAGTTTGTGATATCATCCTTCGTATTTCCTATTTCCGAGTCTCTGCGTTTGTTCTGTGAATCTGAGTTACTGTCTGGTGGTATCTTATCTCAAATGCAGCTTTGCTATGACCTGCTTCTCTTGGCTGTCATTGCCAAATACATTGCATTTCTACATTTTATAGGTCCAATAATATAATTATATACATTTCATTGTGTACTGTTGCTTTTAAATCAGTTATGAGGAAAAAAAGGGAGAACAAATATGCATCTATACTATCTTTTATAGTTACATAATTTCCTTCACTAAATGGGGTGTGTGTGTGTGTGTGTGTGTGTGTGTGTGTGTGTGTGTGTATGTATGTATATTGCCTGGAGTAATTTTCTTTCAGCCTGAAGAAGTTTTTTTAGTATTTCTTATAGGGCAAGTCTGTTAACAACAAATCTCTCACTTGTTGTTTAATTGGAAATATCTATTTCATCTTCACTTTTGAAAGATAGTTTTGCTAGATACAGATTCTTGGTTGACAGGGTGTTTTTCCTTTGGTTATGTCATCTCACTGCCTTCTGGCTCCATTGTTTCTCATTATCAGTCTCTTAGTCTTACTGGGGTCTCTTGTCCATGAAGAGTTATTTTTCTCTTGATTCGTTCAAGATTTTCTCTGTCTTTGTCTTTCAGCATCTTTATTCTGATGTGTCTGAGTGTATATCTCTTTGTGTTCCTCTTACTTGGAGTTTATTGAGATTCAATCTGTCTTCAAGTTCACCGATTCTTTGTTCTGCCCTTTCAGACCTACTGTTGAGCTCCTCTACTGAATTTTTCATTTTAGTTATTGTACTTTTCATTTCAGTTCTTTGGGAGGTTGGATGGAGGAAGGGAGCTCTGATCTCTCAGCTGCTCTTACCTGGAATGCAGCTACTGCACCATGGAGCTGAGGAAATGAGAAAT